TGTAACAATATTTTTAATGTGGTCCTGTTAGGTGAATACATTCAAGTAACGAGTTATAGCTAATACATTAAATATTGTGTTCAACTGTAACTGAAAAAGAGTGTTATAGATCAAAAATTAGATTAATACCAAATTTTAAGGTAACTTAGCTAGAAAATACTCATATTTTCAGTACAGGTCAAGAGAATTGATCTACAAATAATTAAATGCAAATGCTTGGCTATGCACTTACAGAATGCTAAATTGTTGATAACTGTCTACTTCTTCTTTTCGACAGAAAAAAGAATTCTAATGTATATTTTTCATGAAGAATTTCGTACACTACAATAATTCAACCAATTTAAGAGTAATGTTGAATTTATTTATTATTAATATGGTTCTAAAAAATATAGCTTGTTTTGCATCAGGCTCAGTTGAAAACTTGAAACAATATGAAAGATGTTTGAATCAAATATCACATTAGCTGTTGAGTTGTAAAGTAAAAATAAAAAAAGAGATAAATTACAGTTGTAGAAAGAATAAAATCAAACATACTCACTTTAGGACTGGCCTTTACACATGTATGACAAGAAGCATTATGTACAGCACAATCTATAGAAAACATATATGGCCATTGTAAATTATAAACTCCAAAGTAATTCTTATTGGTATAATACATATCCTTACAAAGTTCAAGACAATTTGTGGCTGTTTATAACACATAAAATGTGGTCTGAAACAATAATTTTTCTTACCGATATGTTTTATTGTATATTTTTGCAAGATAACTAGAACTTTCAGTTCTGTAGATTTTTGAATGGCTTGAATGGGTAATGAAGAAAAACTTTAATATAAGTTTAACATAACAGCAAATGTACAACATTTCAACAAGGTTTTGTCATCATTAGTCTCAAAGTGGGTTCCTCGTCATCAAACTTAGATTTCTGATAGTATAACTATTTTGGCAACTTCTGTGATACATGTGTGTAAGTACATTTTTTTCCACTAAAATAATGGATGGAAAAACATGTGAATAGAAGACTGAAAGACCAAAACATATTTGCATATAGAAATAGTCTAAACTAGTGTTATATTTTTATGTACCTCTTCATAGATTAGAATGCCAAAAAATTAGTAAGGCAAGGTTTTCCCCTAGTGAAATCCTGCTGACTATCCAACAAAAAATTAAACTTTATCACACTTTCAAAAACTTTTCCCACCACTGGTGTAAAACTAATAGACCTACAATTACTGGAACAATTTTTATCACCTCCCTTGAAAACAGGAGAAACATTCTGACACCTGTCCACTATTAAAAAAAACAGTATCATTAAGCATACATACCCAATCCTTAACCTTCTTCAAAAACCATGGGTAAATGCTATCTAATTCTGACCCAGAAGCTTTATCAATTTTTAAACTTCCAAATATTTTCTTAAGAAGCTCAGAATCAATGTGATCACCTTGTTTGATCTTGTTTCCAACTAGCAATTGTTCAAGATGAAAAATACTGCTTAAATCTTCATTACTAAAAATTGAAGAAAAAATAGAATTTAATAACCTAACGCCCAAATTTCTGCTACTGAATTACCATTCCTTTACCTACTCATTAATGGTATTTCACTAATTGCATATAATTAAACTGTTCAATTCCAAATTTGTATGTACCCAAACATAGGTAATGAGTCCTTTTCTCAGAACGCTAGATAACATGATACTACTGTTGTAGGATTTGATTTTAATATTCTAATTTAGACGTTTTATACTGTTTACTGGAGGGAGTTATAGCTTTATGTAATAATGATGTGTGATGCCTAGGAATCTCGTTAATGCATATTGTTACGCCTCCGTTTGTTAGTTTGTTTCCCGTAATACAGTATTCTGGTATATATAAGCCGCCAAGAAGTGACGGCAACAATGTGTAATTGAACTGCAGACAGAGATTGACGATTGAGTCGAGCACGTGAGTCCATACGTTGTGAATTTTAACGTTTGTTATAGCGTGACTGTGGAAATTAAGTGTATTGCAAAGTTGTATTCAGAAAGAATAAATCAGTTTTATTTAAGAAAGGACTTGTGTCGCTAAAGTTTCATCAGAAAGAAAACGTTCACGCCCCTTCCTGAAGTCTCGAGAGGTTACTAGATATGTTCGAGAATATGACGTGCTACAAGCGTAACGTGACCCGCCACTGTCGTAACACTGCCCCTTCCTTAGTATTGTTCGTCACGAAAAATAGCCACTTACATTAAACCAATAAACAATTAACAATAACTTAATTAAATGTACAGAATTTCAAACACAAAATTAAAATGCAACAAAGTATCTTAATTTTACGGACGTATCTTATTCCATACTGGTCTCCGTCTCTTGGCTTCTGCTTCATGTGGGGTTTATCTGCTTCATCAGGAAACGTCCTATCATGGGTAACAGTCACATTAGTGGTAGTAACTTCACAAGGGCTTCGCTGTTTCCCTTCTCAAAACCGAGTAGAGTTCCTTCTTCGACAGTGGCTTTTTCAGGTGACACGTCCTCAGCAGAGTCATTTGTTCCGTTGTTCACTTTGTCCCAACTGAAATATCCTGGACCGAGATAACGCCTAAGTCTGTTGGCATGCACTACCTTTGACTTACCTCGCCGACCACATTTTATCCGGAAAGTCACGTCTGAGAGACGATCCACTGTGTCATATGGGCCTTCCCATGGAGAAGACAACTTAGGAGACTTTCCTTTTGTCTTCCTGGGATTATACAACCACACATTATCTCCTGATATGCAATACCAAATCAGGAAGCTGCAACTGTAGCTTCGGCTATTAGTGATTTCTTCTTCAGAATT